TCCAAGCAATTTATGGCATCATGTATGTATGAATTCCATTATAATCCAACATTCATTCTTTTCAGATGGCAGTTAAATGCCTTGTGATGTGATGAAGGGGTTGCATGTGTTGGTATTATGCTAATTTAATGTATTTTTAAAACATACAATTGATCTTATTATCCTCCCTTTATACTTGGGATGACAACATTTCATCAGTAAATGAAATTGATTTTTTATTGTGATGCATGTTTCAGACGTGAGCACCATAAATTTTCCTGCAAAAACAAACATGTCAAATCAACTGGGCTCTCCTTTAAGTCCTGCTGAGCCAGCATCTGCATATTAGACTGTGTCCTTATTTCCTCACCTACACATCAACAATTTGGACAGCAATCAACATCTCTAGAAGTAAACCTAGCAGCTACATTTAGCATTTCTGCAGCCTGAGACTAAAGAAGAGCAGCAGCTTCTTTAGCGAGAGCCAGGCTGCTTTTTACGCACCACAGTCACCTCCATCAATTAACTTAAAACCGCAGCTCATTTTTCATATTCGTTTAATGATAACTGCTCAGGCGAGAAGGGCAGAGAACGTCTGTCCTTGACTGAGGTTACAGTGCCAAGTCTGGAAATGTGTACCTATGTGCTGATCATCACTTCTTCAAACACACTATTTGGACACAGATCACAGAAAAGGGACTAGGAGAAAAGGTGAATTAGAATCAGAGGAAAGCAAAGGACTGTAACTACCTTCTATCAATCAGAATGTAGTCGTCACAAAAAAAGAGATATCTCCAAATCTTGTGTCTTGACATGGCAGACTTTTAAGGAAACGAGTTAAAAAAAGGTCCAAATTGGACGAAGCTAACATATTAGCATTGTTGCACCGTTTACTTTCATCACATCTCCTCTTTGGAGTATAAACTCTTGTAGAATCGGTTTGCATCAAGAGTTAGCCCGTCAGCTTGGCAGCTCCAACAACACTTCAACTATTCCAACAGGTTTTTATTACAGAAGCAAGCTAGCAAAAAATACCCTCATCTACTGAACCAGTTTCTGTGTGTTCTTAAATTTTAGGATTTATGTCTTTAATAACTGGATCGAGGGCTGCCAACTCTCGCATACATGGAGTGTGAGAATCACACAAATGACACAAATCTAAAGCCACACACACACGCCTTTATGTCACGCTAACTTGTATTAAGTCAGTCTATTGCAGGGGGGCCGTCATCATCATCATCATCATCATCATCTGTCTGAACCATAAAATCCATGGATTGAACTTCCGACCGGACATGCGCGTTAGAAAATCATGACGGTGCACGTGATGGTAAGTGATTGTTTATGACTAAACTCTGTGACTTAAAGCTTGTGGACTCTGTTAGACTCTGAGATTTGTTTTGTATTAAAGGGAAATAGAAGTTCAAGGGAACAAAAGTCTACAGTAAAATTATATTAAAGAGAATAATGGTCATTAAGGGAAGTACATTAGAATGTTATTGTGTCCACTTACATTTTTCACTGCTGGTGTATTTGTGTGTTTTTAGCTTCTGTTGATGTTCTTATAAACTAAGTGCTCTTTTGTTTATGGTCCTAATTGAGTTTGCTTGTGTATTCACCACCACAGTGTATGACAAATGATGCATTGTGTTAGTGAGTGTGTGTGTGTGTGTGTGTGTGGTCTCAGCACAGATGGAGCCCCTGATAGAGGGCCTGTGCAGCCGACCACTGCAGGACACATTATGGCAATTTCCAGCCTGAAGAGCCAGCGAGCGTCAGAGCTGGCGAGGCTGTTCGATGAACTCGACCCCACAAATCCAGCCGAGCGTGACGCCAACGCCTGCACCGCTGGGACGACGCCCAAACCCGTTGAAGGAAAGGTAGGCAGAGGACAGTTGGGTTCATCCAGTACAACTCTCCAGGTAATCGGTTTCTTTCTCTAAAGCCAATATTTGACTAAAGAAGACCGTTTCCTGACTTAACAATGAATGCACGAGGGGAAATGGAAAGAGACAGAGAGGCAGCGCTGATTGAATTTCCTCTCTGGTCAGACTGTCCTCAAACACACACACATTACACACACACAAATCACACTTTACCAAAAGACCTTATTTGGCCAACACAATTGAAAAAGTTTAAGGTACTATTAGGAGTCTGCCCTGTTTTCTCAAGAGCCCAAATTTATTTAAACCTCAGAGCTCTGTGATGGAAACGATTCACAAGTGCCTTAATGTTCAAGTTCTCCATACCTACAGTATAGTCTGTACGACCTAAACTATGTCGTTTTCTAAATCAATAAAAGGTGAAAACTGCTAAAAGTATTGATATTTTGTCATAAAAAATGACTTGTGTTATCATCAGAATAAGCTTAAAAAACTAGAAATTATTCTTTATTTTGAATTTATATATCCATATTTTAACAAGCAGTATGCTAAGGTGTTTTGATAATTTCATCTGCAACAGATAGCAGTTGTGATGCGTGCACTGTATACAGAGGTAATAGTCCTCAGCGCAGCGGGCGTGGGTTTGAATCCGACCTCGGCCCTTTGCGCTGCATGTCCTCCCCCACACTCTACTCCCAACATCTCCTGTCTCTGTTCAGCTGTCCTCTCTAATAAAAGCAAAAAGGTCCAAAAAATAAAAGAGATACATGGGAAAAAACCACCGTAAGTCCTGTGTAAAAACATCAAGATTAGCATCAGAGAACTATGTCTTATTATATGATTTCTTGAGTTGTTGTTCTTTTTTCCAATTTTTAATGTTTCTCTATTACTGTAGGAGATTTAAATTCATAATTTGTTTGTAATTCTGGGCTCACAAAACCTGCATGCATGTGTGTGAATTATTGCACATTAGACCATAAATCCTGCATGAGGTCACACAGAGTGCAAAAACTCTCATCAGCTAAGCAAATCACCGTCCCTCCCCGCTCTTTGATGAAAGGCGTCTCTACGCGGAGAAAATGTGCGATTTTTCAGAGCAGATGAAAGAGGTGAGCGCTTTGAGTTCTGCCGCCGGAGGAGCGATCTGCATCTACAGATTCAAATGAAGATCCCGGAGACCTGAGACAAAAGGAGGAGCATCACGGCTCTGCTCCGAAAACTTCAAACAACACTGACATTTTTAATTAAGCCAATCTGTAAAACTATGGAAATGTGGAGAATTTATAAACTACTGTAAGAGAGAACGGTGTCAACATTCTGTGTCCATTTTCAGCTCAACACATTTCAAAACAAAGATGAGAAGTGAAAGTGGTCTTTAGATGACTCACAACTTTCACTGGAGGCTGTAATGTGCTTTTTTCCCTCTCATGCCAGAAATCATTTTGAAAGAGCGGCTCTTGCTCCTTCAAATGGAGTAAATCTGAAGACTGAAACACTTTTTCACTTATTAAATAAGTGAGTTCACCACAGAGAGGGTGATAAAAATGTACTGCTGAGGACAGGCCTCGGGGCTCTGTTTCTGCAGAAGAGACGGGTTTAGATGTGTTTTCTCAGATTTTCATCTGCTTTGCTGAATCTGCGCGGCTGTCTGAGTTTGTGCTTTTTGTAGGCGGTAAATAAGACTCACTCCCAGCGAGGAGGCACCTGAGAAGACAGGTTTTAATATCGTGCATCTTTTTCGCAGCTGCTGAAGTCTATCAGCGAGCGGAGCGACGCAGCAGGTAGCAAACGCAGCAGGTAGCAAACGCAACCCGACCCGAGTTCCCCTGACTGAGGATGAGATCATTTGCACATCAACAAGCAGCACAGCAGGAGAGTGTGTGCGTGGATGTACATGTGCATGAATTTGTGCGAGGGGAACACTAAGACGAGTCATAAAACAGACCCAGCTTGAGTTTTAAGAAGCTCAGCAGGTAAACATTCGGGGGGAAAAAAAAAAAGCAGTAAAAACCCGTCCGCCGGTTGCTCAAAAACAGACGATTACACATTCATCACAATGCACTATCCTCTGTTCAACCTTCACCTCGTCTCACGGCAACGCTTCCAGCCAACGCTTTCAAGAGTCTCTCACTCAATTTGAAACACAGGCGAGAGATCTTGAACACTGCTAGGGGACAGACGGCGTCATATAGCGACTGCTCGGTCACAACCTCGCTCCTAGGTTCACCGAGAAAAAAAGGCCGGAGGTGGAGAGAGAGAGAGAGAGAGAGAGAGAGCGAGAGAGAGAGAGAGAGAGAGAGAGAGTGACGAGACGACGGCGAGGTTCATTTTTAGAGTTGCCCTCAAACTGTTTCATGTCAGCCTGTCACCGTTAACACCTCGATGTCTTCAGCTGGCACTTTGACATCTTAATTACAGGCAATCCAAGAGAAATGACAACATCTACTTCACAAAGCAGTCTCTCCCACACACACACACACACACACACACACACACCAATATGCGTGTTATTTAACAAGGAAAAGTAAGTTGTCAGGCAAATCAGAAACAAGCCTGAGGAAACAACAGATACGCCTCCCTGAAGCAATATTTGTTTGATGAAATGCCTATTTTTGAGTCTTTTCTCACTTTCTGACAACTCAATTTCTCACAAAGTCTTCATTTGTAGCAGATATTTAAATGTGAGCTTTTCTGTACGGTTTTAAAATGGTGTGAGCACTCATCACAGCACTCGAGAGCGGTATACCCTGGGATAGTGCTGTTGAGAACTGCTGCTCATACACAAAATAGATCTATTTTTGTATGTATTGGGGGCACTGGTTGGCCTAGCAGTTGGTTTGTGCGCCCAATGTACAGAGGCTGTTGTTGTCATGTTGATCTAATTGTGAGAAAGCCGAAGGTAAGAAGCTGGTCCCCATTTTAGTTTGGTAGAACAGTTAGCCTTGATGTTCGGAGCGCATCAATGAGGATAGTTGGACAAAATATTAAAATGCTAGCTAACTTAAGGAGGACCAAAACAGAAAGAAACAGTCCTATCAACTAACTTATACAACACTTAATGCAGACAATTTAAAAAAAAAACAGTTTTTAAAGTTCTCTTAATTAGTAGAAGAGGATTTTACACACAAAGGAACTCACCCAGACTGGAACAAACTCAGCTCAACTTGGTCCGATCGTCTTTCCAACAATGATGGGACGGCAGTATCCAGCCTGTGGAAAAGGAAACGAAGAGGCAACATGTTAACAACCACCATAAAGTGTTCTTTACTCGCCAACAACATTTTATAGAGGCCTGGGGCAGACCAGAGGCTCTCTGAGATGTTGGGTCTGACACGTTGATGTCTTTAGGTGCACATTACAGATCTCTATGTTAGAGACCGTTTTGTGCATTTTCCACACAGTGGTCTCACTATTGCCCACTAAATGTGTCCAAAAAAGTTACTAAATTAAATAGCATGAACTCTTTGTCTGCAGAAATGAGTTGTTTTGCATTTAAATGAAGATGCACTATTCCTGTCTAAAAAACTAATAAACAATCAATTGAATCCGCTTCATTCAAACCCAGAGATTACTGTTTTTATTCACATGTTTAAATCTCCCTAAGGTCGCCATTTAAATTGTGTAAGGCATTACCAGAAAAGAAAACAGTTCGAAAGATGTCCCAAGATGTCATGGGCTGCTTTAAAAGTTTAAACTGGGGTTAAGGCCACAAATCTACTCAGCGACTTTCTCTGATTAAAGGATGTTATATTATCACCATGGCATAGCTTAGTGGAAGCATAAAAATGGAATAAAGCAGCTTGACATTAAGAAATAATGTCTCTTGTTCACTCTTCTGTGGGCTCAAGAGAGACTGCCTCAAAAACCTGCCTATTTGCAAATCTGGAATCAGAATCGGGATTAGGAAGGAAAATTGGTAACAAAACCTCTTTAGATTGTTTAGTATAAATTAAGGCTGTCAAATGATACATCTTTAAAATCATGATTAATTCCCGCATTTCCATAGTTAATCGAAATTAATCACATTTGTAATTTCATGTTGAAACGTTTGTATGTTTGTACTGTCCGAAGCACTAAGAGCACTTTACGTCCTGTTTGGATACCAACATGCTTTTATTTTGAAAGAAAATAATGAACTTCAGGTATAGGGAAGAGTTTAAAAAAAAAAAAAAAAGTGAAATGTTTGATGTCATAAGGAGGATATGATGTTGGACTCGACGTCTGAGCTGTCTGAGAGTTTTAAAGTGAAATGAGCCATATAGAGGTGCCGCAGTGTCGTTCTTTACATTACTTTGACTACAGTGAGATATTTACCTACAGGCTTCTGAGGGGACAAAACCGCACATGATTAATGCAAATTCAAAAGAAATATGCATTCATTTCTGACCTTACAGACGATCGATTAACAGGTTAACGCAGACAGCCCTAGTAAAGATATCCTTGACCTTTGATTTAGCAGCACTACTGTGTTTTATACACTTGTTTAACCTTTATGTATTTACTTCCTCCCTGGTGAAAATCTTATTTCAGTGATGGGTTGTTTTCATTTTGGACTGACACACTCTCTCATATTAGCTCTGATTGTCTCAAACCCCTCTAAACCTGATTCCAAACAGCTACTTTCCTTTTAATGCAATTAAGTTTTGGGGATGCTAATTAAACACATGATTATCAAAGGACTCGTGAAGGGTTCAAGTACCACCACCAAGCTGTTGGGTGATGAAGTGTTTTGATGCTGTTGCCAGACAATAAGAGGCTGAAAATCCTGTTCACACAACTGAGCCTTATACTGCCAAACAACAATCAAATTTAAAAACAAAACCTGAGAAACTTGGAGCAACTACAAGAACAAGCAGCACGCTGCATCGATGACAGTAATCCACACAGTGTGTAAACACTAAACAGTCCGCCTGCAGTCATTACAGAGACACACATAGTCAACATTTATCCTGCTTACTATCAGATCTGAGATCAGCCGCATTAGGACGATGTAAGCTCTTTTTATTTCCGCACACTGGACGAACACAAAGGATGATTAATATGATCAGCAGGAACAGTAAAAAGTCCATCTCAAGATATAAAGGATGTTTTATTGGGCTGTTAATACCAGATAGCCTCATAATTCAATTTAGTTTATTGTGCAAAAATTGGATCCAAAACTGAGTCTAAATCACCGCCCTGTGATTTTCAATCAATAGTGCTCTTAAGCAGCGAGTGTACACTCTTTCTGCTCGTCTCAGTCCAAGTTTACTGTCCTTGGAGACTTTCTAATCATGCCTACATTAAAGCAAATTTTCATTACATTCCTAAATCCTTTAAAGAACAAACCAATTAAGACTATTTAATCCCTCTGTTTCAAGTGCAATTAAAATCCTAAAAACAAGGACGACTTTGGGAAACAGCAGCGTAGATAGCAGAAATCATTAAGTAACAGCTGTAGTGTCCTTGGAAGGACAAAAAGGAGCTGGTAAGGTTGTTAAATATTCATTAAAAAGGAACGCTAAATGGAGCAAATGAAGGACTAACTTGCAGTTTTCATTATAAAGGCTGTAAACTAGAATAAAGTAAGCAGGAGGATTTACTGTATGTGCTGTAAACTGCATAGCCAAGTGAGGTTTCCTGCTGCCAGGCCACCTGCTACTACACTCCTGATTTGAGAAATGACCATGATGTCTTCCATCGGCTATTTTCACACCCGTCCTCCTCCTCCTCCTCCCCCCCTGCTCATCTCCTTTAGTGAGACAGACAGCTCTGAGGGTGAGGACACATTTGACGCTCAGCCAAGGAGAGGAATATTTCACCCAGACGGATGTCGGTGTGGACGCCTCAAGCAGAAGAAAAAAACACAAGTGGGTCGATACTCTGATTGGCAAGTCGCTGGTAAGTCGCAGGTCAGGTCCTCTTCCTCCGATGGACCGAGACAAATCCATCAGGACTGTCCACATACTGATACTACGGCTGCTGGCGGCCTCGCCTAAATTTACATTCCTACTGAGGTAACCTCACAGTCACTGTACTGACACTTGTTCAGTGGAAGCGGGGAATCCTTAAATAACATTAAGATTGAAACACATTTCAACCAAATCAGATGCATCAGTCATTCTCCAATCAGCACAAGATGGAAAACAAAAGCTAATTCTTAAATGAAACTGTTGACGTTTTGATTTAAAACATATAACTCCATGGATTAACGTTAGCTGGTCCAATTTCTTTGTCAAACAAATATAGTGTCTAGAGTGACAGGGACTACAAACATAGTGACTTATAGCTATTACTGATTAATACATCGCACTACATATTATCACAATATACTATACTGTACTATGTTCTCGCAAATTTCATATTTTTCTTATACTGTGCAGGTCTATATCAGAAACCCCATCAGTCATCTGTAAATTTCTTCTTTTACTAAAATTGATATTGCAGTTGGTTTCAAAATCAGAAATAAGTTGATCCGTGTTTGTTCATAAGATAACAAACTTTAAATTGCTCCTATGTTTTAAGGAGAAATATAATTCTAAATGAAATGATCGTTGTAGTATACAGAAAAAAAAACAATCCAGTTATTAATCCAGCAATAAAGAACTTAAGCTTCAGACTGAGGGACTAAAATCTGTTTTGATCCCATCCTAATCTAATTATGTTTTCCTCGATGGTTTCGACCAAAGACAATAAGACAAGGAGCTGCAGGTGTGAACATGTGGTTATTCTCTCCATATGTTTCTCGATGTTTATTAAAGAATCTGGTGACTCTTCAGAGAAAAAGTGAGAACAGAATCCTTTGTGATGTTTGAAGCTGTAAATCAGCTCTGAACTTTTTATAAACACTTCTCTTCTCACTTCTCTTTGGATGTACCTTGGCTTGATTATTCTCACTTTTAGGACATGCTTTAATAATTTTTTTCCCCCCCTATCTTCCTCCACAAAATGTCTCCACGTGTTGCCAAATAAACAGGCTTTGATATTCCTACAAGCTCATCCCCGGCTGGCATGCTCACACTCTTTAAAGGCAGCGTGGCGTTGGTGCGTCTGACAGCTGAGTGGGACCCTGTGATGCTGTAACAACATGAGGGACGACAACAGAAGCGCCGACATCAAAGCCCTGCACCACTGACACACACACACATATGCACACACTAACACACACATTGACACACATGAAAAGGGACATTTGCAGCAGATTACCAAGGCCAGTTATTCATCAGTATTTACGAGAGCGAGGTTACGAGTCATGTGCATACATAGTGCCGCTCTGAAATGACTCCCACAGCTCATTTGTACATGAGGAAGGGAACGAGAGCGACTCTGAGCATCCTATCGACACTCACTTAAGATAATGGGCCTGCAGGGAGGATAAAGATTGGAGGATGAATCTAGGAGCTTCTCTGAGCAGCTGAATGGGCAGACACGGCAGATAAAGGGCTTTAGAAAGGGACACTACAGTACCCGCGGTGGCAATTTGTCAGGATTAAAGCTGGATACTGTCTGTCAATGTGTGTGTGTGTGGTCACAGTGTCAGGTGTTGTTCATTACTCCAAGGTTGTCAGGGGATCAGAGTGTTGCTCCGCGCACACCCTGGGGTCATCTGAGGCTTCGCACAAGTTCATGGGTCAATCTGACTACATGTTTTCTTCACTTTTAGACATTTGAGGTTTGAGATTTTTGCAAAACATTTTCCCAATTTTGCTATTTGTCTGTTTGTGACATTCAGGGTGCATTTATAAAAACAGAAAAAGAACTTGAATGTGGGTTTCAAATGTTATGTGTCGTCTGTCTCGTAGAAAAATGGCAACCCAGGTAAGTTATACAACTGATACAGTTCTAATAGTTGTTGTGTGTTAAATCTATGGAATACAAATTTAATACTCAGCATCTTTCTTTGATTGGCATGTGAGAAACATGAACTGAACACTCGGACAACGCAGCTCCTGTGTTGAAATGAAAGAGTAACATGAACTGATCGAAACTTTCCCTGAGAGTTAAACTTGCTTCTTTGAATTTCCAAAGCAGGAAAAATGATCTTAATTAAGGAATATTATTTCACTGCTCCAGAACTACTTTCAAAATTAATGTAACTTTGGGGTTGTACTTGCAGCTGAACATTCCTGATTGGCTTAGAATTTAGCAGCTTTATTCTGCCATCATGTTTAAAAACTCTGAAGTTGGAAAAAAATGTTCAGAATTGGTTGATTTGCTCACGATTCCCAACAAAATAACGTATCACACACTTTTTCTCAAAACACTTAAACACTGTCCATGAACAAACAAGAGCAGAGAAGAAGAAAACTTAAAATACCTGCGCCTGTCTTAAGTAATTTAAGTGTTTTTCTTATTATGCAAGAAGAATATAAAAGCATTGTTTTTTATGTCTGCAGCTGCATGTTGGCCATCTAGATAAGAGTAGCAATGACAATATGTTATTTCCAATACAGAAGAGTGTAGATGATAGTCCGCAATAAGTTGGAAAAACTACCTTTATGAATCTATATCAGCACGGGAACTGGACAAAAAACAGATGGAGAATATGAACATATGGGACGTACAAAAATCCAATACAATGCATCCCTTGTGTTCAGTATGAAGAGGATTGAGAAGAGCTGTGGGCGGAGAAAATAGAGAAAGAAAACACCAAACAGACTCAAGAGAGGTTTGTGTTATTGTCTCTGTATCCACATGAACTGAAGGATGCCCTTCAGCCTGCACAGACTTCAATCAGACACCATCACTGACGGACCCGTGATTACCTCCCTCTCCGTCTCCAACACCTCGCTCTCCTGCAGCATCATCTGCCTCTTTGAACCTCCACACACAGATACACACACACACACACTCAAACACATGCTGCCTCATACAAGAGCCCTGCAGCAGAACCCCCCCCCCCCCCCCCCAAAAAAAAGACAAATGTCAAACATAAAACACACACACTGTACACACACACCGCGCACATGCCTGACCTTCAGCAGCATCTCCTGAGGCCAAACATGTGAAAGGCTACCTGTGTTCAAGCAGAGATCCCTGACGGCCTTCAGCACACGCTTTCAACCTCCCTCTCATGAAATTGGTTCAGCTTCACAATGCTCTCTTTCTGCGCAGGATTCGGCTGGTTAAAAAAAAAAAAAAAGACAGAAAAATAAAGCAATTGGTTTCCACAAAGCCGTCAGACCTGCAGCTGACAGCGAGGGCTTTTATTGAGATGGTGGACAACATTAAAGAAACATCAGCACACACACACAAACACACCCATGAGATATGCTGTCCTCCGCCTGCAGAGGTTGCAAAACAATGCTGATATTATGCAAAGAGATTGAGCTTGGTTTTAATCCAGCACTTCTACCTACACACTGTGACACAGAGCTATTTTGTCAGATGAATTCATTACAGGAGCTGTCAGAGCAAATCTCATTACAGACCAAGCAGCAATCAACACATCGGAGTCTAACGACGGCGAGGAGGAGCCGTAAGATTCTTTTCCTCTTGAGAGATTTATCGTTCTTGTATTTCTGAGCGTAACATTTAATCATTCTGTTTCCAGCTTCTATGTAAATAAACGATGGAGTAATGACTTCCTGAGAGCGAAGTCAAACTCCCTCTGGGTTTGTTGATCTCAGCTCTGTGTTCACATTGGAGTGACGGCGCTTCCGTCGGCTTGTTTGTGTTTCCCTATATGAGGCTCAAACATGTTCCTTACATGTTTTTTTTTTTTTTTTTTTACACATTAACTTGCTACCTCTATAATTGTAGCCCTGCCACAACATGAGGAAAGAGAGACGGCCCCGCCCACTCAGGGACGCCGCGTCTAGGATCATAACAACGTATGATCATAACATCGTAGCTGAAGGAGAACCAGCAGACATTTTCTATCATTTCCGTTTTAATAGATGTCTATTGTGATTTGCAAACCACACTTCCCATAAGACTGAAAGTGGGTTATGGTTGGTGCTGTGCTGGTTTGATTGACAGCTGTCTCTGTCCATCACCTTCAACCATGATGGTTAACAGTAATCCAGCCTGGTTCAGTTGTTTGCAGGCTTGTTTTTGAGTTTCATTCGGCTGGACCTGACAAAGTTTTCTTGAATTAAAACACACTTCAACACTTCATCAGCATTTAGCTGCAGCCGATGCTACAGGGCTGCAGAGATCAGGATGCAATTTAAAATAGAGAGACTGAATATGTAGTTTGGCTTGAAGTTAGCTTAAAAAAAAAATCTCTTGCAGTCTTGAGTTTTTTTGTGTTCCCTGCTTCTTTCCATCGTATTTAAACATCACACTCTGTTCTCTGACAGCGGCACAGGTGCGCATCGTCTCCGCTGAGCTGAAATGAGCTACAGGAACACCTGGTGGAACATTTTGCACAGTAACCCTACATGTTAATGACTCGAGCAGTTGGTGAGCAAATTGACAGGATAACAAGCTCTGATGAGGCCCGAGGAGTTAATCAATGGCAGTGACATCCGAGGAGATGGCGATAAAGGACCCAGAAAAACAAAACAAAGATGCAGTCAATGGGAAGCAAAGAGCACCCGGAGCTCAGTCAATGAAGTGCACACTGCAAACTCAGCAAGAGAGCGGAACAGCCTCCAGCATTAAGGGGGGGGGGGGGAATCCACTTTTACAGGGTCAATGTCGAGTGAAATACACCGACTCCCCTGTGGGAAAATATCTAGTACTCCTCAAATGGAAGCAGCTGGAAGAGGAGTTTCACAGGGAGGGAGGGAGTGTGCTACAGAGGTCATAAATCACACGTTTGTGTCTGCATTCAGGCAGCAGAGTCAGACTCGACGTGTTTCAGTCACCAGGAAAACAGACAAACTGACAGCAGGAGAGATAAGAAAAACCTTCCAAGTGCTAAAAGACTACTACCAACCCAGGTGAGATATGAGACACCTGAAAGAATGACATATGTCAACCTTTAAAAAAAAAAGACAGACATCTTTTTAAGATGCATTCCTCGACAAAACTTGTCAAAAATGGTAGCTTGTTGTTCGGCATTAAACTTCAAAATGTGACGACTTAGGTGCCACTCCAGTGTCAGTTTGGCTCCTGGAGGGCTTACAGCCTGTCCTAACAGCATGCAACGCAAGCGAGTATTAGTGACAACACCAGCTTGACTATTGTTTCCTGTTGGAGTATCCTTACTGCCCGCAAACAACTGCTTTTCTCACTCAACTTAACTTGTTAGCTTGTTTTAAAAAGTGGAGATAAACCTTACTCAGCTCACCAAGAGCCACTTATTGACGAACCTTTGAGTGTTGTGATTTGAGTCATTAGCTCATCAATACAGCACAGCACATCCGTTTGTCCACCTTCAATTCAAAAGCAGCGCAGGTCTTACTGTTTGGAAGGGGGAAAAACTCAAATTCAGAGAGCAAAGAATCAATTATGTAACGGATGCGGTGTGGACAGCGATGGTGGGAAAAATGAAAAGTGTGGTGCGAGCTGTTATCACAAATCACAACACTCAAAGGCGCGTCAATAGAACAGCTTTTTCTTGGTGTTGACATAAGTCAAATCATCACATTTCAGTCATGGATATGGATAATATTAGCTCTTGGTGGAAGAAGTAAATCAAATTTAAATCAATTAAAAAAAAGTAAGAAAAGCAAGGCCACCTTCTTCCTTGTTCCTAAATCATGTCTACAGGAGCGACAAAGAGGAAAATAGAAACAGGATGTCAGGTTTAAAACACACTGTGTTGCTCGAGGGACATTTCAATAGTTAACAATAGAATCAGGCTGCTTTTGTCCCTGACGCTCGCTTGTGTTGCATGCTGTTAGGACAGGCTGTCAGGCTTCCTTGAAACAATGTAGAGAGCAGCTTCAAGACATGATGTTCGAGGAGTACCTATACATACAGGACAACGAGGTCAAGTTACCTTTTCAAAACTGAAAAAAAAAGACTTGTGGTGACATATTCAGTAAAGTACAGGCTTATAGTCTCGTAAATAAGCTTTCACACTGACCCTTATGTCCATCTCTCTTTTGATCAATGTTCCCCTCAAGAAGAAGATTCGCTTCCGTCTGAACTCTGGCCACAACAAGGCAACTTTAATCATGCGGTCACAAATGATCAAAGGATGGGAAAAAGGGAGATTTTGACTGAAAGAATTGTTAGATATTTAAAAAAATACAATTCAGCAGGAAAGAGATAAATCATTGCTGAAGATGAAAGCTCCTATTTGACCTTTGATCGGTCGAACAAAACAAATGTCTCCATTGTGAAGCACTTTTGCAGCTTTAATTGGCTCCATATCGGCTTTGAAAATCCATTTTTGAACATTATTTTTCCGTACAGGTCAGAAGCCAATTATGTGCTTAGAAAAAGAAAAAAAAAAACATTGAGCTTTAATAATTCAGACAACAAAGACGGCTTTGTTCAGTGTAGAGGGTAGTTTGTAGTAGTAAATGATAATGTTCAGCAGGCTGGTAGTTAAGGAAGGGACAACACTCTATATGAGGTATAAATTATCAGAAAGTTGTGGATGATGAGGAGTATGAAGCTACTTTTTGTCTCTTTTACCTTCGATAAACCTTCAGGAAATAATTAAAGATACTGCTAAGTGTTCATACACAAAAAAATCATACATTTATATCGTCATAAAAAAAGAGTAAACATGGTCTGTTTTTGGAGATAATATGTCAGAGATAATGTTTGGTGAGCTGGTTGTTATCACAGAATGGAACGCTGACAGGATGAGAAAAGCAGATGTGAAGTGGAAGAGGGTCTCCATAATAACAACCAGCTCACCATACATTATCCTTCTTAATACACGACTACTTTGTAAGGAAATCAACTATTTGAAACAAAATATTGACTTGCACACTGTTTAACAATGATTTACTTCCTTTGCTGAAAGAAATAGTCTGTTGGAATCTACAGTTAGAGCTGTGTCTATATTAACAGGCTGTAACCTTCATATAATGAGCCAAACAAGCAGTTCTTTCTCACATTAAACTGAACATTTCCACTGATGGGGAAGTGAGAAAAGGTGAACTGATCGTCATGAATCAGCAAGACTGAATGAGGTTTTCTGCCTCGTCATGTTGGGGACATTTTCTGCCCTTTTGCCGTCTTTCAAACACTTCCTTATCTCGTATACCATGTAACGTTCTGTGTTTCCTTGATGTGTTATGTTCACCTTTGTAGATTCCTACGTCATAGCATGCAGTTTTTTTGTCTTATTTTATCTGCATATTTTCAGGGGTGCATATGTGGAAACGGCAGAAGACGCCAATGCAGCAGCACACTGCAGCTGTGCATCATGACAGTTCCGGTATGAACCTCTCTGCATACCAATATTCTCTGAATCTCATAGCGTTGCCTTTTTGAACTTGCCATTACACAAATCGAACTGTGCGGCCGGGTGCTTAGCCAAATCCTGCTGCTGCTGCACTCCCGCAGTAGCGACACACCCCGACATGCACCGGGGTGCGAGGGCCCTTCATCACCGCTTGCGGTTTTAATTACTACTGTTTATTGTATTTTATGTCTTTGTAAAGCACTTTGTAGCGAATGTCTGTGAAAAGTGCAATATAAATAAAATTGAATCTTCAAAACTGGAATGGTAAAACCTCCAAATGTCAAAATGTTTAAACTACAAATAGTAAACTTGGTTTTTAACTGACGGTGAGTCAGAAATTCCTTGAAACAAGCAGGACTGATCAATTAACAATTGTGACCTAGCTTTCTGAGGATGGAGTGAACACTGGGTGAAAAGGTCCACACGTCAGAAATGACATCCAAAAAACAGCAAATGCATCCCCCATTAATAATAACCCACATCCATCCCCTCCGTCTGCAGTCCTAGTTTGGAATTTAGTTTGATCAAATGTGCATAATTATACATGAAAAGCCTGTCTAGTCTGGAATTAAGTAAACACAGCCACAGGAGACATGAAGCACTCATTTCAAGGCTAACTGCAGACATCAGAAGATGCAATCCCATAAAAATCCTGCCTTTAAGACATTTAATAAGGCAAGGGCAGCCAAGAGGAAGCAGTCCATTCCTCTAAGAAATCAAGAAAAAGCTCTCCATGTCACTTAGAGAGTCTGTGACCTGCAGCTCGCTAAAAGAAAACGCCACCTGCTCACCGCTAACTGCTG